GCCTTTTGAAGTGAATAACCCATTGAAATATGGGCTGATTTAACGTAAAAGATGATAAAATCAGAAGTAAATAGTTTAAGACAATTCCCTGGTACCCCACTGTAGTGCTTTCACCCAGCTTTATGAGGCCTTTTGAATCACTTGAATAGCTGTCTTGGTTATAGAGAAAATCCCAATACCGAAAATGGCATTTTTCCCCTCAAATTGGCGTCAGAGCGTCATCCGTTGGACACTGTACTTAATCCCCGTCTTTAATTGGCCTTTTGGGAAGTTTGTTTTAATTTTTTATAAAAACTTATAAGCCCAGGGCTTTGTTTCTATGACTTTGGTCCTTTTACTATTAGTGGCCTTAAATATTTGGCTGTGTTGGACACAGGCTTTGTGTAGGTGACTCTCTTACATGGTTGCCAGACTATTATGAGCAATAAGTTGATAATCTCTCAAAGTGTACTGGAACAGCTGTATCGCAAAATATACCAATTGATGCAAAAGAAAAAAAAGGCCTAACTGCAGACAAAAAAGAAAATTTGACTCTTCCTTTTCAATTGGAAAAAATAATTTATCATCCCAAAACATAATTTTGGAATCATTAAAAATGTATATCTATATTGCATTTGAGGTTTTTAACTGTATTGAATTGTTCTTGAAGTTGCTTTCCAATTTTGCTGTTACCACTCAATATGAATCACTTAATTTTAAGGATTTATGACCTAAAAATAAATATAGTATCTGTAAATTTAAAATTCACAATTTTCCCTTTGAAAAGGTTAAGTCATTATCATACTTTCTTGAGCTATGGTAGCTAATCAGACTTCCAAAGAGGTGGGCAGTATGGCAGAGGGCCAACCTATCAATGTGAACACGTTTTAGAAATTCATTAGGTACTGTATGGCCCCTTTTACACTTTCCAGGTAAACCACAGCTGGATGGTTTTATTTGCCAGAAGACTGTTTATGTAACCCAGTAGTTGTCCTAATAGCTTTACTCCCATCTTTTGAAAAAATATTAGTTTGAGCAGCTTAAAAAGGAGGTGTCTCTCTTGGTGTCTCTCTTGTTGCTTGCAATTTATAGAGAGAGTTTTTTTTTTAATAATGGAACGTTTCACCCCCTAAGTTTACTCAACTTGAGAAAGAGCATAGAACCTACCTAAAATTTTGATTCACAGTGGACTTATTCCTACCCAAATGGCAGCCCCCCCTTTCACACACACGCACACACGCACACGCCTGAAGGTCATGCTGTTGAGATGTTATATACAGGATTGCTTATATTATTTAGACTGAATCACACAAGCTTATTTAGAGCTGGTGAGGAAAGCTGCTAGTTGGCCCCATTATACATTTCCCTTTGTCACCATTTACACAATGGACAGGACTTCAGTTTTTTATTTAAACATCATTGTGCAACAGAATCTTTAAATGTGATATTTTGTCATCTAACTTCAAATTGCTTCTGTTCTTGTTCTTGTCTCACTCACATTAAAACACAAAGTTGTACATATGTAGGTATACACTTCATGAGGAAGGGAACTGTGAAGAGTAAAAATAGTAGAGTTGATTTAATAAAGAACAAAACCAGATTAAGCAAATGACTAATATATATGCATAATTGACAAAACGGAAAATTGATAGTTAAATTGGTCTCTAAAATTCTTGGTAATTTGAAAATGAAAAATGTGTGTATATTTTCATTGATTTTTTTTTCTTGTCTCTTCAATCGCAGCAAGCCCCATTGCCATCGGGTTATCTATCAAATATAAAGACCGTCAATCGGACCAACAGTTTCTTAGGATGTCAATTACCAATTTACCAAATAAGAAAGCATCACAGCTGTGGACAGCAGCTATGCAAAAGGTATCGCTTCCAGTAATGTTTAATTTAACAGAAGCTTAACATGTATCTCAGCTTTTATGTTTTACCTTATAATTTCTTTTAGAAGTTTAATTTATAAAAAGTCGTAGAGGAAGTTGGATTAGATAGCATATCAAAAATTAATCACATGCAAAATAAGTTAGCAAAAATGAATAGCAATTTTAGAGGTTACAAGATTTTTATGTTGATTTTGAATCATCAAGTTTCTTTCTATCTCAACATTTCAGGGAGCACGGATGCTGTATGAAAGTAAGTCATCAGAAACAACCTGAAACCAGCGGGACCAAGTTGGACTGGGTTGAGTGGGGATCTAACCCACATTACATGTCTTCTGAGGAGAATTTATCATTTGACCTATTTTTACAGCAACATGTCTAATTTGGGAGACTCTGATGGTCCGTTATTTCTAATTAACACTGTCTATTGCGTGCTGGTGAATTCTTTTATATCTCCTTTTATATATTTATGGAGACTCAAATTGTAGAACGTCATGAAGCTGTCTGTTGGCTGTTTTCCTGTGGAAAGTAGATGAATCCCATGTATTATAAATCAGTATATATTTGAAAGTGTCAATTGATGAATCTCATTGGGTAATTGAATTTAATTGCGCCATTTCCAAAAAGAGGGCTGATGTTTAGAATTTTATGTTGATCTTAGATTAAGAACATATGATTACATTGTAAACATATTTTGTTAAAAACAATTGAAACAAAAATATATTTTAAGGCATGTGGTAAAAGTGGCAATATTTAACAAAAGAATTTCAAGCTGTTAATTAAGTGCTTATTTGGATGTCCTCACAAAAGTGTTTTATTTAACTTTAAAACATGTTCTCCACGAAAAGCCTGGAGGTTGTTGAGGTTAATTTAACACCCATTAATAAGAGCATTTACCAATAATTTGGAATTGTTTCACCAGTGCTTGATTCCTAATGATTCATTTTTTTTACTTGTTTTATTAATTTTCTTTCATATAGACTTATTGTCTGTACTTAACAAAACCATATAATTGCATATAAATCTGTTCAGAAACATATATATAGATATATCAAAATATGACTTAAAGAAATGAGTATTTTTAAAGGCTCATTCTTGGTCCATTCTAGGCTCATTCTTGCAGTAGGTAGTCCAGTGCATGCTTAGTTTACTTATGAATTTGTATTTGAAATACTCTCACATAATTTTAAACCAATGATATGAACATCACTAGGTTGATATAATCTTAGTAAAATAAGTATGTATTTTACTGTTACTAATTTTAGTTTTTTCGCTCTTGCATAAAAGGGGGCCAATGTTGTCATCACTTCAAGATAAAAATTAGGAAAATTCTCAGCATTTTCAATAGAAAATTGTTTTACTTTTGATTTGATAAAATTAAAAGTAAAATAAGGATTTTTAGATCATGTTTGCAAAGATTGAAAAGACTCCTCCATCATTTTATACTGGCATTTAATTTCATCCTTTTGTGATGCAGATTTTTATGGAAGTTCCACTGGGAGAGAAAAGGGGACTTGTAGAAGAGAGAATTGTGCTGAAATTTATCAAGCAATAGATTTAAAGGTGAATTTTAAAGCTTGAAGATGGGCAAATTCCCAAATCGTTTACATGTTTTAATTCAGTCGTCTAATATAAGACACAAACACCCCATTTCCATAGATTAGATCCACCTACTTCAGATCGACCTAACTCCCTGGGGGTTCACGCTAAATAGCTGTCAGCCAGGCGGACACGAAAGTTAATTATCCCCTTACAGCTTGTAGTAGGCGGGACGGACATTTAAGTCGGATTATCTGAAAGTAATCTAGTGAGACTCCCCGCGGGGATAGATCGATCTAAAATCTATGGGAATAGAGCCAAAGATTGATTTGTGAGCATTTCAAATTCATTGTTAAAATCTATGGTACATTGTTGACATTAGAATAAAAACTGATGGGAATATACATGCTCCAGGAAATCCCTTAAAAATATAATGGCCTGGTGTTAAGATACTGTTTTATATGAATTTTACGGTGCTTGGAGGAGTTAAAGTTTGATTATTGTAAGTGTTCATTTTGAAAATATAATTTTTTTATGAAATAAAAACATGAAGTAAATAAAACATTACTTCAAACGTGGTTCTTTTTGCTTTGAGTCATAACTTAATTAGTTTTATCAGAGGCGTTGATTCTCATTATCATCACCCCTTTTTTTGTCTTCCCAAATTCTCAATTCTTTGCCATGTTATATCACACATGTTACATCAACATTCAACAGAAAAGGATAATTGAAGCATCTTTTTTTCGCGGAACAGCCTATAAACGCCACTCCCCAATCGCGTGGCCTCTCTGTGAAAGAATAGTTGTAGCTGAAACGAGGACATGAACCCTTCCATTCAATTAATAGCACCAGATATAAAAAAGTAAGAAATAAAATCTGCACCCTCTGAAATATCTTAATGTACACATAACAAAAAGGTAACGGAACAAATCTCCACAGCCATCTGACTTCAATACTCCTAACGAAAAGAAATTATTTCTATTATAAGAAAGGTTAACAACCATTTCCGAAGCATCACAGTGACATTTATTTGTGTTCTTTTTGAAGCAGTTTTTTTAAGCAGAAGATAAGCTATTTTTACGTATCAAACGCACCAGACTGTAAGCGAGGTATTTCATATGCGACAGCAACTATACCATTAGCCTCCGTGTCTCAACATTTTTATACCTCAGGTCTGAAGAAATTGGACCGACATTGAGACAAATATTTACTTGAGGATAAGAGGATAGATCTTTTCATTCCCGCCAATAGATCTCTTGCTCCATAGTAGACCGATCTAGTCAGAATAAAGAAACTAAAATTGTACAAAAACCAACAATCCACTATTGTTCCGTAGGTGCTGAAAATTGATCATTGCAGAGACTGAATTCGTCAACCGCACTTTTTCTATTATAGTTTGAATATTTGGAAACCTGACACTGAGACTTAAATTTCAACTGAAGCTGTAAATAGGCAATAAACAATTTATTTCTTCCTTATACATTATATAGGCACGTTGCCAATGTCGGCAGAAAGACGTTTGCTACCCATTTTCAACCTCGACCAGATAAAATTAGGTATCTGGGATCTAGATGAAAATCCACCGACCCGTATATTTCAAGTAGCAATATACTGAACCATTTATAACGAACTGAGTTCAAAACTGCTACCCATCGCTAACACCAGTGGGTGTAAGACTTCAGGGTAATCAAAATTGAAAGGTAAATGAGGGTGTAACCACTATGTCGTTTTTTGGTAAACACGATAAGCAAATACAACACATTGCTTTAAACACACACACACACACACACACACACACACACACACACACGCAGCGAATATCGTTTACAATAAAATGCCATTATATAGATTTCAACACAATCACTGGCAAATGTATACCGAATGTAGTTTTGAAAGATGAATTAAATTCCGTGTATTCAATGTTCATAATTGACGACCTGGGGGTTTTAGGGCCTACTAATACTAATGATGTGATCTTGAATCCATCATATTGTACGATGGGTTCAAGATACCCTCTACCAGACATGATCGCCCAGAGACAATTACCAGGAAATATTTATACAGAGAAATAAAAGGAAACGTAGTTGTCATAGGAGCCTTTTTTATTCTCAAAGTCTCACTTAATTTTGTAATTTTTAATTCAGAACATTATGTTAGTAAAATTAATTTTAACAACTTATATGTTGATCTATTAATGATAAACATACAAATAAAGCCTCGCATAGTATTATTTCTTGCTTTAGGAAGGTCAGCTTTCTATAATATCACATGGTCTTATAAAGCAAATTAGGTACATTGATTCGAATTATCAAAAGGCACTTTGGATAAATATATAGAATATTTTATGCATGGCGTTTTTATGACTTAGCCACAAATAGCTATAATAATGACAAACCTTAGTTTATTTCGATATGAAAACATTTGCTTTACACTGATCATTAACATAATTTCGTAATCTGGGAGGCAAAGTGATTTGTAAAATAGCATCTGAAATAATATTAACAGATAAAAGAACTATTCTAATATCTTAAAGTTTTTATCCAAGCTTTGTCGCCGTCCATGTTCATCTTCCACGTCTGGAAGACTACTGTTTTCTTGTAATGGGGGCAAATGTCCTGCTCGTCTGCGCACATATCTTCCACCTTGAGAAGTGGTCAGTTTCTGCATTGGGCCAGTATCATTAGGCATTATATGTTCATCTGAAGTTTCTTTGACTCCACTCATCTTTTTCCGTGATTTCTTTGGCTTGAGTTCAATTGTATCTAAAGTATTTCTTCTTTGGAGAACGGGAGAATTGGAGGCAGTCGACAAAATCATTAGCGTCTTATCCCCTGGAAGAGCAGTGAGATCTTCAGTGCTTAAACTACTTAGATTGGATAACGATCCCCTTCTCGGAATTTCTAGGGTTTCAAGTCGTTCGCGTCGTAATAAACTGCTGGGAGACATAGATAAATCTTCTGCGGTAGAGAGATTTGTGTAAGAATGTCTCCTGGGAATATCAATTGCCCCCAATTTGTCCCTCCGCACATTTGATTTGGTGCTGAAATTCCTGTGTAACCAGGAGTCTTTATTGGGATCATTATTCTGATCGCTTTGCAATGAGGCATTGCTCGTCTCCTCCAAAGGAGATAATACTGTAATGCTTCTCCGCCTTTTTGTAGATTCCACAGAAGAGGTTAGTTTCTTATTTGAAAATAGCAAACCATTTTCCACTTTTATCGGTGTCCCCGTGCGTTCTTCGCTTAAATGACTTTCCTGTCCTGCCCCAGGGACATCTGCCACCGTGTCTCTGTCGGTGGAAATCAGCAGATGGGGAATGTCTAGACCTGGAGAACACCCTACCTCGTTTATTTCAGCGTTAGCACTATGCCCACCAAGGTCTACGGAGAAATTCAACACATCACCTTTTCCATTGTTTTTGCTCTCGCCTTGTCGACAGAGATCACCATCAAAATTCTCTTCTGTATTTTCTGTGAAGTCCTGTAAAACCACTTTGTTGTGGTTAATGTCTTTTTCAGCGTGTGCCGGCAACTCATTTGCATCCAAATTTAAGCGTAAATCCGTGCTTTTGCTCATTTTGATGCATACCTGACAAGAAGTAAGACGCAAAACCTGGCATTTCCTTTGTGTTTAATGGTCACAGCCACAGTAGGTACTTGTTTATTTCTCAGGCCCACGATGGCGCCTCTATTTTGACTAAATCATGAACTCAATCCAATTTTCATTTAGTGTGAATTTGTATAAGTAAATTTACTATTATAAATTTGAGACCGAATCGATGATTTACAACAATGGGTATCGCGGCGCAATCCAACTTGCTATTCAATACGAGCGATTATTCATAAAATCATTCCAAATGCTAATTTGAAAAGGTTTGGTTTGCGCATTAGAAACGTTGTTTGGTTAGTCAACAATGGTTCTGGTTGCTGTTCATTGAATTTCAATGATCAGGCTACATATATGTGCTCTTTGCCATACCAAACACTGCAAGGTTACGTCCAGATGCAGGTCATTACAAGTTAATTATAGTGAATACAATGAAAAAATCTCTGCGATCTACATGTCAAACTGCAACAGTAAACTATAAACATGGGAGGCACAAACAAAGCAAGCATAGGTCTACATGTACCATAAAGGTTATTTGGAATTTTTACACGATTACGAATTCATTCAATTTATTGTGTGCTAAATACAAAGTAAATAAAGTATTTTTT